TTTTCTTTGTTTGCTTTTGTTTTGACATTCTAGAGCCTTCTAATTTAATTTGTTTTGCTCTCGTTCTGTGGCTGACTGGGTGACATGGCCTACGTGAACCAGCTACCCCCCAAACACCACTGAAAGTACGGAAGGCAAGTGAGTTTCTGGGGGCACACGTGTGGCTCATGATCAGAGGCTGAAAAACGGTTTCCAAGTAATTCTTTGAAAATAATTTAATGGAGACACTATGATAGATAATTAATGAAATGGAAGTGGGATTTGCGTTTTTTACCACCTCAGTTATACTGTTTGTATACATAGTAATTACGAGAGGATGTGACCGTCCAAAGTCTCTGTGTATTTGTGCTGGGCAGGGCTTACTTGTAGTTCCCTTCAGTGTGTAAAGGAAAGGGAGAGAAAGAAATGATAACATGTTATTTTCAGTATTTATACTGTGTCATCTTGCCTCCCACCCAATTCCTTCAATTGTCTCCTAGATTCCAAGTATTGTTTCTATGAATGGTTTTTTTTTTTTATTTGTTTGTTTGCTTTTGAAATTTCAACATCCCTCTTCCCCATTGCCTACCTTCCCCCACTTTTGAAAGTCAGAGAAAGAAGAAAGCAGCCTGCGTGCCGTGTTTAATAGTCTGCCAGGGTTCCAACGGTACAGAGTCCTCCTGGAGAAAAGGAAAACTGGACCAGCCGTGCTTGGGCCTCACCAGCAGTTACTGGTGCAGAAGATGCTTCCCCAGTTGCTGGTGTTAAGTAGCAGCAGGCCCATACTAGCCACGTTCAGCTGGCCGACCACAGCTGTATTGCTGCCATTTGGGAGGGTTTGTGTGCACCTGGGGCAGGCCACACCCCAGCGCTATCAGTCAACAGCATATCCTGCACTGTTCTCACTTTATTTTTGTTGAAATTCCTGATATCCCCTGGAAGCTCAAATAAAGAGTGTCAACTCTGTAGGTGTACCTGTGCGTTTAAGTTCAGTATTTTAAGGCTAGCACTCTTTAAATGTCTGCCAGAAGTTTTATTCGAATTTCTGATCCCTGAAGGCAGCTCGACAGAATCATTCTAGGTCTTCATAAATTGCCTCCTGTGATTCATTGTGAGCTCATACAGCCCCATGCAGCACACTCATTTCTGTACACTCATACAGTTAACATAGCTATAGTACAGGGATAATTTTTCTCCTTGTCTGATATTTAAATTGTCTTCTGAGGGAAAAAAAAAAAATCAAGAATAAGCTTCAACTTCCAGATAAGGCACAAGCCCTTGTAGCGACATGGAGCATCAGAAATGATTTTTTTTTTTCCTCCGGGAGGGTAAGGTGGTGGGTGTCAGGGTTGGGGGTGGGGTGGACGACAAAGTTTAGTTTTTGTGGAATGCTTTCAGTGAGAGCCCTATAAATATTAGACGGCTGTAGTTAAAAACTCACATGACTGTTTTAAATACTATTGATTTAAACCACTGGCTAGATTTTATGAATCAAAGTGTAATTTCTAAGCTTTGGCCATATTTCTCAATGCTAAACCACTCTCTCTCGTGTGCCTTTAGCCGCTTTCCAGACATTCAACACAGGATTAAATGATAGCAGTTACAGTGATCAATAGGTGAGGGCTGCGACAATCACTCTTGCCGTTAATGACCTCAGTAGTAATGGGTAATAAAGTGTGGGCTGTAATAGCCCCTCGCTGGTACTGCATGCCCTTTGATTCCTAGTATTAGGAGGGACTAGCTACACGAGAAAGCTGGACACTGGGAATTAAGGGAGTGGATATATAGGCCATAATTCTTAACTATTTAAAACCTTAAACTGTGCTCCGATTTTCTCCTGTCTTTTCTACCCCACTATGGTTTCTAGTCCATTCGAATGTTTTTGTGAAACCTTGCCACAGCCTCCTGTCCTGATATATTGGTGCAGAAACTTGAGGTGTGTGTGTATGGGGGGGGGCGGGGGGTAGTAACCAAAATCTGTTTTACTGCATTTCTAAATGAAGCTCCCTGGCCCACTTTGGTGGCTGGGAGCTAACTGGTGTGAAACTGTGGTTTCAGATAGTAAAACCAAAGTTCAGGCCATCAGGATATAATGGCCCACTTCTGATTACTCAGGGACCGCTCCACTAGTTGGGAGGGTTACTCAGGCTTCTTGCGCCTGTCCCTGGCTGGGCTGCGCCTGCTGCTTGAAGCGTTTTATTACTCATCAGACCCTCCATCAAAGTGTCCAAAGGGAACAAGCAGGGGAGAGTCAAGTTCATTCTACTGTTCTGCAGTTCGGCTGCCAACAATGAAGAAGTGACTGTGGGAAAAGGAGCTGGAGACCATTGGCTCTCTGCAAAGATTTAAAAATTACCTGCACCTGCCAATCTTTCCCTGGTCACCCTTTTTGATTGACAGCCAAGGGGCCATGTCATTTCTCATTTTAAAAGACATGTACTATTTTACCTGGTGTAAAAATAAAATGCTTAAAAAATACATGATTAAAAAAAATCCAGTAAAATATACGCATTACCTACAATGGTTTAAATCACCTTTATTAAAGTATGATGTATATACTGTAGAAAATACTCTTTATCTAGTTGGAAGAGATTTGAGATTCCTGAAACTGTGAGGCCCTCACAGTGTTCTCATCAGCCCCCGAAGTTTACCTGTGTCCCTTTCTAACCCAGGGGCTCCAGACCACTTTTAAAAATGATGATGAGGGGATTGTTTCTGTGCTGTCCCTCTGCCACTGTTCTCTCAGGTTCGTGTGCATCACCGGCTCTGGTTTTACACCACCCTGTTCCTGTCTGTTTTCCTGTCCATCGCCATTAGACGTTTGGCTCACGAGTATTTGTGTTGTACGCCATCCAAGAAATGCAGAGAGAAAAAGAAACCTTAAACATGGCTTCTTTGTGTGCTCCAGTGAGCCTCCTGTATGGCCATGCGACTCTCAAGGAACAGTAAACTTCTATTGTGATATGTTGGCTTCAGGAGCTCCAAAGAGCGAGATTGGCACCCAGTGCATATTTAAAAATTCAGAAAGTTTCTTCTGGATGAAGACAAAGTCGACTAATTGGAATTAGTGCGTACATGGTTAGATGTTTTGATAATGTCTTCTTGGCGTTTGCCCTAGACTGTACGCAAGTTCAGTGTTCCAATCATTGGTGATATTTCATGCTGCGAATTATCTTTTTAAAAGGATAATTTATCCATTCATATACATCTGTCCCTTTTTGCATATAAAAATATTCAGACATGCCCATCTGTTTTAAATTACAGTGTAACTACATCTACACTTAAAAGACCACTGCAGTAGGAAGAATTCACGGATGACCTCCCCGCGTTGGGTTAATGAAATTTTTTTTTTTGAGTGTTCTAGCTAGTGTTCTCTAAACACGTGAAACTTGCACGCGAGCCTCCCCCAACTTCCCCCCAACACACAACATGCCACAACAGCAGTGGAGAGTGCTCAGTGCATGTGAGTCTGACCTTCAGGAACCATTTTTAGTTCATCAAAATTAGTGATGCTGAGAAATCGGGACATCAGTGCATAATGAGTGTGAAATTAGGAATGAGAGCTGGCTATGCAAATGACAGGGCAAGCCATGTGAAAAAGTCAAGATAAACTGCATATTAAGACATTACGTTACATAAAATTAACACTCCGTTTCTCTCTTTTGCTTACTGTTCCCCCGGAAGATTTTTTTTTTAATTCTTTTATCTTTTGATCAGCTATTGTCTGCAAGATTTTTTTTTTTTAAAGTGGCATACAGGCAAAGTGCAAAACATGTTATTACCTTTTATTGTAATACATGAGGTGACAGTAGACCCTTTTTAACAAAGTATAGATCCTTTACAGCTTCTAGCGTCTTGCTGGCACATTTGCTAAAAAAAAAAAAAAAAAAAAAAAAAAAAAAACAAAAAACAAAGAAAAGTAAGATGCTTACATATTACTCTTAGAAGACATTTGGCTCTTGTCTTTTCTTTTATTGTTTTTTTTTTTTCTTATCTTTTTAGGGGGGTGATTTTTCATGAAGTAGTCTTCTTGGATTACGGGGACTGACAAAATGGTTCTCATGTCGTCTGAAAATTAAACACAAGTGCAGTGATTATTTTGAATAGCTAAATTACATTCTAGAAAGCTCGCAGAATCTGTAGCATTGTCATTAGGTATCCGCTTGAATACAATTTGTGTAACCTTGGCCAAGACAGCCTGTCATTTTAATGTCAGTGTTTTATCTGAACAAGACATCATCCTTTCAGATACAGTGCGCAGGTTCCTTGCAGAGATGCCCGTGCAGAAACGTGTTAACAGTTGCAAATACGAAATGCTATCAAGTTCATCACTGTAGCTGTTTGTCACTGAAATGTCATGGAAAGCGGCTTTTACCGGTATCACACGTAATATGAAAGAATTGAGACATCTGTGTGCTGGGTGAATAAGGAAGGGTAAAAGGCATCCTAGGAAGCACCCACGTTTTAAGTTCAGAAGGTGTGTCCACAATTCTTTCCTCACCGCCCTTCAACCCAGGCCTTTAAGCATCCATGATGATTGTGAAAATGTGAAAATCACTGTCCACAAGGGAAGTGGGTCATACCAGTGGCGGGCTGCAGAGCTGTTGGTTCCTCCTTAATTTTTCTCCCTAGAACAAACCTGAAGTGCAGGTAAACTCAGAGCTCATTTTGACTAGAGATCTGTTGTGAATAAGGATGGATCCGCCCCTGGTCCCGATAGCACTTGTTAAGGTGTGTGCTTCCTTCTCTGCTCAGGAAGCCGTTCTGGCTGCAAGACTTTCTTTCCCATTTCTTGACTTGTCCGGCATCTGGGATGGCCTGAGTTTGGTACTTAGCAACAACATCACAATAAAATCGATAATGATAACGGCACCAGGGTTTGTATAGGATTTGTGGTCATATCTCCTCACGATAAATACATGCTGCATGGAAGATGGGTCAGTTCTTGAAGTAGGCAGACCCTGGGAGGCTGAGGGTGTGTGGCTGCCTGGCTTCCTACTTACCCTCCATTAATGTTCTAGGTCCCCGTGTCAGTGGCTATGATGACACCTCAGGTTATCACTCCCCAGCAAATGCAGCAGATCCTCCAGCAGCAAGTGCTGAGCCCCCAGCAGCTCCAGGTTCTTCTCCAGCAGCAGCAGGCCCTCATGCTTCAACAGGTAATTGTCCCCCTCCTACCCACCCTGCCCCACAGCTCAGTTCACAGTACCCCTTGGTCCACACAGCTGGACAAATGAAGAATTAATGTGGCTGGCAGGCTGAGTGGTACAGAACTCCACCTGGTCCCCAAGTGAGAAGAATGGCATCTCTCTGCCCCTGAAGGAGCAGAATGATGCCACAGGTCCAAGGCTTGGGTCTGGAGAGTGCACTGTGGACCAAGATTAGGGCTGTGATTGGACTTGGTAGGAAACGGTCTTTCAGACTTACGTGGCTTTACACTCTTTTTATTTAGTCAGCTGAGATGAATCAAAGCAACCTGAGGTACCCATTGGAAGCAAGTTTGCATAGACAGCTCTTGAAGTCCCCATTTGAACTCCAAGTCTTACCTTGAATTTTTTTTTTCTTGGACCCAATGAAGAAACATTTTGGAGTTCATTAATTTAAAGGCACAGAGTTTACTTTTTCTACACAGACTGATGCTCTGATCAACTTGTGGCTGTCCTTGTGTCTTGGGGACATAAGACTCAGGCTTAAGAGGCAACCTGAACCCAACAGAAAAGGCTAGCTGCTACAGGGATAGAAGTCACTGGCATAGAATGGGGAGGACAGACTCAAAGGAAGTTCCCAACACTGTTGAAACATCCAAGGGTGGGACCCTCCTTGCCCGCAACCCCCCACCCCCGTAATTTAGAAAGCCTGTACTAGAGACTGACCAGACTCTGCAAGGGCATCTTGGCTTTGTTGTGCAATCAAAGGTCATCCCTTGCCTTATTTTAATTAATTTGTGTAGAAAATGGTATGTTTTTCATCAGTTCATTTTTGAGATTGCTCCTCAGACCTTAATGCCAAGAAGAGTCAGTGCGCGTGGAATTTACTGTCAGGTTTCAAAGTAAAAGGTCAGGCCGTTGCAGATAAAAGGATGCTGTTTTTCAAATCACAGTTTGTGCATGGCGTGGAGAGGGACGGTGGGCCTCAGTCGTCTGCGACTCTCCCCTTACCGTCCCCTCTTCTCTCTCTCTTGTAGCAGCAGCTTCAAGAATTTTATAAGAAACAACAAGAACAGTTGCAGCTTCAACTTCTCCAACAGCAACATGCTGGAAAACAGCCGAAAGAGGTACCGACGATGCATGTTTCACTTTCCAGCCACCGATCTCGGGGGACTATCCCGTGCCTCTTAAACTGTCATTCATCTTTTAAATGATTGCCCGACTCAGCTGACTCCATCAGTTCCCGGCTTTCAGAGCAAGAATTATTGTCCTGTTGGTGCTAAGATTTCTCGATTCCTTACTTTACCTCACCACCACAGTGTACCTCTGTGTGGTGACAGCATCATGAGCAGTATTCTGGGCTCCTTTGGCATCAGGGGGGGACCAGCATGCCATGCAGCCAGGATGGGGAGGGACAAAATTGAAAAGGACACACGCTTAGTTTTTTTTTTTTTTTTTTTTCCCATCATTTAATCATTGGTTGGTTTGTTTGTTTGTTTGTGGAACTCAAATGTTTGGGCAGGTGGCACTGGCCTTTTCCATGGGTGAGCTAACTTCTGGTGGGGTCAGGCAAGCACGCAAGGCATTTAGAACATGGTTAAGCGTCCCTATCTTCATTTGACCCCTTGCATGGTGAGCATGCCCTAATTGCCTAATGCATGCACTAGGTAGCATGGCTTAAAGTTAGGGGACTTTGTCTCAGGTCACCTGTACTTCACCGAGGAAAGACAACAAACACTGCACTGTTTGCTTCTACGCCCCAGTTCTTTGTAGTGTCCATAATGTACTGCGTTCGGCTGCACTGCCCAGGCAGGTGATAATACGTACACCGTGAGACTTTCCCAGGGGTTTGTCCCCACTTTGCCTTCGGTACGCTTCCATGAATTTGAGGTGCTGTCCCTTTGGGGAGCTTCCTAGGTATTAGGACACCCACCCTTTCACTTTTCACCGTGGTCCCCAATTTTTTCTGTCAGTGTCTCTCTCGTTGTGACCACAAAATGTATGACTTCGTGGACAGCATGCTACCCTCTTCCTGGGTTTCTCTGCCAGCCCTACCCAGTTAGCTACTTGGCTCTTGTGGAGGGAGTCTTGCCAGGCGACCGACTCCGCATCCCTGCCCCTCACATGAGTATGGATGATGGTTTTCCACATGGGAGTTTCCCAGACTTTTCTCCCCATGCCAGCTCCTCCCTTTACACAAATTGGGTACGCTTTCTACACTCTGCCAAGCTTCCCCACCCGGGAGTCCTGTTTAGCAGGCTGCTTGTAAACCCCCCGCGGAGCAGGGGCAGTTTGGGGGTAAAGGGGAGGAGGCATATTAATGAAAATGCTGACGCAACCTTAAGGACAGTGGCTGGCTACCAGGCGCGGCTCTAATAAAAAAGGGAACAGATTAAAAAGTGTCTAAAATGTAAATCTAAAGGACTAACAGTAATTAAAATGGAAATGGCACGGGGAGGGAAGGCATGTAATTGTGAGATATCACCCTGCAGAAGGCTCTCAGCTTTGTTTTCCTGCCTGTTTTTCTAATTCAGCGGGGCTTACTCATCAGTGGCAGTTCAATGCGCCTTAATGACTCTGGGATTGCAGGCATCACTCTGGACAAAGAAATGATTATTGTGCGGTCAAAAGAAGTTCAAAGACAAGGAGGGAATTTCAGTTTTTTCCCTTAGAGATCCACATTCAAGAGCATATAAATTAAGCCAAATGTTAAAAACCACAGTCTGAAAGCTGACTTCAAAGTCACAACTCTCTAATTAATGAACTGCGAGCTTCAGTTTGGACAAGTTGGGGTTTGATGCGCCCATAAATCAACATGACAGGCCTGTTTCACAGTCTCAGACAGTGCTTGTCATTGAGTCACATCAGATGTAAACACAGCAGAAAAAAGAAGGGCTATGAAGGAGGCGCAATTGATCAACAGAATTGGTAAAAACCCACTTTTGAAGCGCATTATGCATGATCACAGGAAATGGTTACAGCCTCAAGAGGTTTCCCCTTCTGCTGTTGCTTTTTTGAATCAGATTTCTCACAGCCTTCAAAAGGGAGAAGAAGAATTATGGAGCTTCTCCCCCGTGGCTCGCAGGCAATAACCCCCTGTTGTTATTTTGTGCCTCTTTCTTTTCAAAGGCATCAAAATTTAGTTTTTTAAAGATCTTTAACTCTCTATTTGAAGACGCACTAGAGAGGGCTGCTGCCACTGCCACTCTTATCAGTTACCGGGGGCTGCGCTCTTCCTTCCCATCCCACTCCTCATTAACCTCTTATTTGGTCTTGGAGACAGAGTTTGGAAAGCACATCCGCGTGCTGGGAAGACATGAAAGTTCAGACTAGCTCTGAGGGCTCCAGAAGGAGAAGGAGTAGGGGAAGTTCCCCAGCAGAAGAGAGTTCCCAAAGTGCTGCTGTCAGGAAGCGGGGACACAAACATGCAAGTGACATCTTGAGTTTGGGCCGGGATTGATAGCCAGAGGAACATGTTGTGCCCACAGGCAGGGAGGGTTATGCATCGTAGTAGGGTTTTGTTTTTGTTTGTTTGTTTTTGTTTATTGTTCGCATCTTGAGGACTGTGGACTTATTGTGGCCCATGGCCTGGTGTGGCCTCAGTGTACCTAGAGGAAGGCAGACAGGTGGGGTCAGACAAGTGTGTCCTTGGGTTTTCGTGGTACCACTGGACTGTTCGTTACACCAGTGCTTAGGAGATCCTGCTTCTCTGCGATGTCAAGAGCTTGTGTCCCAAAATCATCATGCCGGTCGGTGATGGTCCTTCTGGGCTATGGTGAGAGAGTCATATGGTGGCAGCTGTGTGGTATGGCCTGCTGGTGATAATTTTTGACAAGGTTTGCACATAGACATTGGCCGATGGAGCTGGTGTGTTCCTTTATGGAATGCATCTTGATTAAATGATTAAAGGCCATCATTTTCTGCCTTCAGGTACTTCCTCTCCTGTGTTCCTTCTCTTTTTTGACTGTGGACTCAAAGCCAGAACACCATACATTAGCTGTCTTTTTCCCTGAAGGTGTGTTTGATAACACCTTGGGAAGTTTGACTTCACATTGAACCAGACCCAAGATGCTCCTTTGGAGCTCGGTGCTGGTGTCGGAGATGTAGTCCAGGACACCTCAGAAGAGTAGCTCCTAGATCCTGGACTCAGGAGAGTTTGGAAAGCAGATGGAAGAATTCGTTCTAAAATCTAGCTGGGTGTATGTGGGGGTGCCATCCTGTGTGGTGAGGTGCCTAAGCTGATTGTTTTAAAAGGGCCGTTTGTCCTAGGCAGTTACAACAGTTTATGTTAGGCAGTAGGGAGTAGCCAAAGAAAGGAAAACAGACCTTTGACTGCAGCTCTAGGGAGGGGACCCGAAACGAAAGGTTTATCAGGGCATTTGAGCATTTTAACACTGACTGCTGACCTGTCGGGGGACTGTGCAGAGACCTTTTTTGTATGCATTCAACTGTGAGAAGTAAACAAACGGCCTCGTATCCTGTGTTTGGTAACTGGGTGGGGAGCACGGTTTGGCAACCAGCATTGCTTTTAAATTCTTCTTTGGACAATGGGCCTTGTATACTTTTATATCCTGGCTTTTCAAACGTGGACAGCTTTCATGGGCCTTTCCTAGGGATGGCCACAGACAACAGAAAAAGGCATCAGTCATTTTATATAAATACACAATTTTTAAACATTCTCTTACAGTAAGACAGGAAGCACCCGCCCCAGCCTCCCCCCCACCCTTTATATCTGACTTCAACAGGGGCTAATTCCCCAGTCTTTGACTGTGTCCGTATCCCCTGTCTTTAATGTCATGAGTTAATATCTGTTGAAGAAGTGAAAAAATCCTTTTGACACGAATATGGCTATCACTGGGTTTCACATTAATGTGGCAACTTGGGAAGGGGTGGAAACAATTGGATCATTTTCTGCATGCTGTTCTTAAAATGAAAGGACTGGCTTTTCATTTCAATTTATTTAAATTTTTGTTGTTAGTGGTATAGAATTTGTTTTTTGGAGTGAAACTCAATTAACTTTCTCAGTGGCATGGTGGTAAGTCTGAAATTGGTTACTAATATGAGGATGATGCCTTTTTTTTCCTCCTTTTTTTTTTTTTTAACTGTAAAATAAACTACATGGAGGCCAAAAGGAAACCACCATTTTTCTCTTCCTTTGAACTTTGCATCAGAAGGTCTTGGTGCATACACCATTTTATGGCCATATCAGATCAAGGTCATGTGTTAGGTTAAGTGAATGCAGTTGTTTGTAAAGTATCATTATTAAGCGAAGCAGGCTCTAAAAACACCCGTCATCTTAGTTGCCAAAGTGTGGCTGACCTTTGGAATAATATTCAGAACTAACAAGAGCTCTTGTGTATTCTTTAAAGATATATATTTGGATTCAGTTTGGAAAGGGTTAATTTTTCCTTTCTAATTGTTAGCCATAATGTAGCCAAGACCTCCACCTCGATATGATTCCTAGCAGATTAAGGATATTAGATAATTTCCTTCTATTTATTGTATTCCTGCACCGTATTATCTTTCTATCACTCAGATAATTACTGAGGAAATCTACATTAATTTTTTTTGGCTGGGGTAAAGCCTGCTAAACACAGGAATGATGTATTGATGTTTTACACAACAAAAGTTTTCCTCCTGTCATTGTCCAGACAACAGAGATATTTATCATATCATAAAGCCCCTCCTTTCGAGAACAAAGTGGGCGGGGGACACAGGACAACTGGGAGCTCTAAACTCAAGCCAACTGAAGGAGCTAAAGCTTGGAGCGCCTGTTCACATTAAACTCTCATGGTGGAGTACGATGTTGTTTGCTAAATTATGAATGTTCGTAATTAAAATCTAGTGGCTGTTTCTATGAAAGATTTACAATGTTATTTCATCGTTTGTCATGGCTAATTAACAATATTAGATGAAGTTTTTCTTCTTCAAAGGTCTGATTTTTTCTCATTTATTTATGTCAGGACTGATAAACAGTAGTGAAAGGCCCTTGCCAGTGCAGGCAGGGAGGGAGGCATCTTGCTCTTTCACACCTCAAGGGTTTAGGGTTCAATTCCCTCCAGACTCGAAAGATGCACTCTCCTTTCTAGTGTGAATAATTACAGATTTCAAAGTCTCAAAAGTTCCTGTCTGACTACAGAAGTCACGCTTTTCCTACTGTTGGGAGAGCAGGCTTGTCAAAAGAATCCTTTCCCTAGAGGGATGGGCAGCAGGAGAGTTAACACAGACACCGCCCCCCTTTCCTGTGTGCTGTGTCCCTTTTAAACCTCGACACTGAGCCCTTGGCCAAGCTCAGGTTGCAGTCCTCAGGTTTTTGAAGATGGGGGCGGGTTTTGAAACATGCACACTTTTGACCTTCATTGGAAAGTGGCCATCTCATTTTTACCCCTTACTGTTTCTTGCAGCAACAGCAGGTGGCTACCCAGCAGTTGGCTTTCCAGCAGCAGCTTCTACAGATGCAGCAGCTGCAGCAGCAGCACCTCCTGTCCCTGCAGCGCCAAGGCCTTCTAACAATTCAGCCCGGGCAGCCTGCCCTTCCCCTCCAACCTCTTGCTCAAGGTATGCATCAATTCCGAGGAAACAGCTTCGAGGAGATGGCGGGCAGAGGGGATAAGGTGTTTCTTGATCTCTACCTGCTTGGGATGCAGCAAAGTACCCACCTGAAACACTCACAGAGAGACATTCGGCAAACAACCAAAAAAGCAGATGGGTTCTTGCAGGGCCTGTTGATGTCAGGAGGAAGAGGCAGGGATCTGGATCCTCACAGGGGCAGTGTTGCAGTGTTGGGGACAAAAGGAAATCAAATGTTCCATGCTCTTACTAAATATTTCAGTGCAGTCCTCTGGCATTTCTGTTCCAGATATTCTTGAAACACACTGCTTAATCCTATATATTAAGACATGTTTTACAACATGCAACGTTCTTTTCTTCTTCCTCCCTGTCTCTGTCTGTGCACACACACACACCTTCTCTTTCTCCCTGCCTTCCTCTTTACCTCCCTCTCTTCTCCCCCACATCCCTCTCTCTGATAGGATTTCTGACATAGTTCAGGCTAACCTGGAACTCACAATCCACCTGCCTCCACCTCCTGAGTCCATGATGCTGGGCTTCTCATTTAAAGCTTAGTATCTTAGTAAGATTTTATATAAACTCCATTTAAAAACTATTTATTATTGCATTTTTATTTGCATGTATGGCTGTGCACTGTGTGTGTGCTTAATGCCTGTAGAGGCCAGAAGAAGGTGTCAGATCTCCTGGGACTGTAGCTCAGACAGTTGTAAGCTGCTCTGTGTGTGCTAGGGATTGCACACAGCACACAGGGCCTCTGGAAGAATAGCCAGTAATCTTTTTTTTTGGTTTTTCGAGACAGGGTTTCTCTGTGTAGCTTTGTACCTTTCCTGGATCTCGCTCTGTAGACCAGGCTGGCCTCGAACTCACAAAGATCCACCTGGCTCTGCCTCCTGAGTGCTGGGATTAAAGGCGTGCGCCACCACTGCCCGGCTGCAGCCAGTAATCTTAACTGCTGAGGCATCTCTTCAGTCCCCTAAACACCATTTTTTAAATATGTAGGCACACTATCAATTTTATTTCCACCATGGATGTTAAAAATAAGTCTGCTTTCTAAAAAATCAGTGGAATAATTTTTTTTGTTTCTGTTTCTTTTTTTTTTTAACTCTTTTTCTGCTGATTTTTGGCTAATGAATTGAGCACTCGTTTCCAGTTATTTTTCATGAACTTTGAAGAGTATCAAGAATTTTTGGTGGGGTTTTTGTTTGTTTGTTTTGTTTCTAATTATTTATTTATGCGTGTGGGTGTTTTGCCTGCATGTATGTCTGTGTACCGTGTGCATACAGCACCTATGGATGCCAGAAAGAGGGCATCAGGTCATCGGGAGCTGGAGTTACAAATAGCCTTGAGTCATTGTATGAGTGCTGGGAATCTAACCTGAGGCCTATGGGAAAACAGTCAGTGCTTTTAACCAATGAGCCATCTCTCCAGCCCCCAAAAGTATCATTGTTTAGTAGATATCTTGAATCTTTTTGGAAAAGTTGCTGGCATCAGAGACAATGGGAATCTGTAGGTATTCTTAGGAGACCCCGTGGGTATAGCCAGCTCTGATTTACTCAGGACTAAAAAAGGGGTGGAAGCCGGGTGGTAGTGGCACACGCCTTTAATCCCAGCACTTGGGAGGCAGAAGCAGGTGGATCTCTGTGAGTTCAAGGCCAGCCTGGGCTACTGAGTGAGTTCCAGGAAAGGCGCAAAGCTGCACAGAGAAACCCTGTCTCGAAAAACCAAAATAAATAAATAAATAAATAAATAAATAAATAAATAAATAAGGGGAGGAAGAAGGTCGGAAGGCCATGGCTATGTTTAAAAGCCAGTTCCCTTGTCCCAAATACCCGTTGTCTCATGCATGCATAGTCCACATCCTCAGACTCTACCAAGTACATATTGAAAGAAAGAAAAGAAGCCATACTAATATACATGGTGAATGTGGACAAATGCCTTTCCTGTTATTCTACCAATAGTCATAGATAACAATGGTTTAATTAGTCACATAGTGTTAAGTACCATAAGTAATGTCGGGATGATTTAAATTTAAATAGGATCATCATGGGTTCTTTCAAACTCCATGGCGTCCTTCCCTCTCTCTTCCTTTCCTTTCTCCCTCCCTCTTTTTCTGTCTTTCTTTCTTTCCAGACAGAATCTCTCACTTTGTAACCGAAGGCTGGCCTCCAACTCCTGTCTCGGTCCCCTGAACGTCAGCTGAGAATTTAGGCGTGTACCAAGGCCTAGATTGACATACTCCTTTTTATCTGAGAGATTTGAGCATCCTTGCTTCCTGGTATCCACAGTGGAATCCTAAATACTCCAGCACAACTGTGTGTGGTCCTGCAGACCTTCAGGTGGCAGTCCTTCCTGCTGCAGTGGGTCTGTGCTCGCCACTGGATAGATGGTAGCTCCGACTTCCTAAGTTTTGGATTCAGTTGCCTTTGGAAGCAGGGTGAGAATGATGGGTCTCTTTTGTAGCACTAAAGAGGCAGTCATTTGTCTAGAAATTTTGGGTGTTGCGTGGAGCCAGTGAGGCGTGCCTGTTTGGGTTTTGTCTCCCGAGTCAACCACACCCAACATCTGTCTGTCCCTTACGGTTTTTGTTGTTGTTTTCTTTGCTTGTAATGCGAAGGCTGCGGCTCTCTCCTCCTTTCACTTCCTCCTGGCCTCCCACCTGTCCTGGCCTTGTCCGCTGAGCTGGTTGGTGTCTGAGGGGCAGCTCCTCCATTGCCAGTCTGGAGGGAAGAGGAGGGAACTGAACGCAGGGCAGAGGAAGGACACTCTGCCTGATGCATGTTTTGTGCTTGCATAATGTTAGAACCTGCATTAATTACACCCTTTGGTTTATTGTTGGAAACACGGCAGGCTGTTCCTGACACACCCACAGGACTCAAGCCTCACTCGCTCTCATCTTTTCCCACCGCTCCTATGCTATTAAGTTTGCTCACTAAGGTTCATTGTTACAGTACATCAGTTAAGCTGTCCAAAAGAGGGCAATTGGGCAGTGACAAGACAAGCTCATGTGTAATGTGAAAGAAATGAATGTGGCGATGCATGCAGTGTAATCTCTGCAGCAGCGCATCAGAGACACCGTAGGCAATTCACGAGTCGTGGCATTGATTGATCTGCTTAGCAGTCTGCTGTAACTATTAGCGCCTGCAACATTAGGAAGAAGCATATGTAGGGTCTAAGGGGTGTCTCTATGTGCGCCCAAGACGGCACGAATGTGAATGTCGGTATTGCTGGCGTTAGGTGCTGGGTGTCAAGTGGACCACAGTTACTGCTCTCTCTCAGGAAGCAGGAGCTCACTTCGGTCCCCGCAGCCTCCTCTACAGAGTGGCTCGAGAGCGTTCAGTCACGATTGAGCTACAACACAATTCTTTTTTATCCGAGAGATGATGGCTTAAAACTGATGTCATTAGGAGGTTTAAATCAACTTTCTGCTTGCTTGAACATGGTCACCTGGGTACGGATGTACAAGGACAAAAAAAGGTTGATCAACTGTTTGTCTTGGAGCCAGTGATACCTGGGGTTGTAAAATTGAGTTCCACCAGCAGTAATCTGTCAACTGTCCCCACAACATACATTTTTTAAACCTGCGCCTGCATTTTCTTTTATAATGAAGGGACAGGTTGTCCTGGGGGTGGGGGAGAAGAAGAAAAAATATAGTGAGGCACCAGGGCTAGGTGTCTGAAAGTGCTGGTGATGCCCACTCCATAATAAAGCCATCAGGATTGTTCTGCAGCTCACTCATGGCCCTGCCAGGTTACCTCAAACCTGTGTGTAAATCTGAAAGGGTAGGGATTGGGAGTGATATTGTAAAGGCTTTTTCTGGAAATTTTATAGCAGAGTCTTTTTCTTGTTGGATTATTCTAGAGCGGTGGTTTTCAACCTTCCTAACACTGTGACCCCTTAACACAGTTCCTCATGTTGTGGTGACCCCCAGCCATAAAATTATTTTCATTGCTACCACATGACTGTCATTTTGCCGCTGTCAACGAAATTAGGCAATCTCTGTGAATGGGTCATTCAACCCTGGGTTGAGGACCTCTGTTCTCAAGCCTCCTTTCCGTTTGCCATAATAAGGCTGTCTGTTCTCACCCAGCTTCATTCAGCATTTGATGGTCCTTAATACCAGTGGTTTCCTACAGAACTGTGCTATTTCTGTCATTGCAACCTTTTCATGTTTTTAAAATGTAAACTCCTCACACTTGGTTATATACCAATTAATGGACTTGTCTAACTTGATACTCTTCCTGTACCATTCTGGAAGAAACCCATGATTCCTAGAAATGGAGCATCCATGTCGTCTGATGGGTACCCGTTTAGCTGCCGTCTGTCTTAATGCTGGCATGAGGTGCAGGCATTCTGGAGTGGCCGGGAGTCACTGAATAACGGTGAACTAAAAAGGAGGGATCGAACCGACGGCTTCTGTCTACAGTCCATTAAGAATGTTTCTGAGCCTAATGAGCACATGGACATTTGGCCTCAAAGGACCTGTTGTTGCTCATCGGGTCCCTCTCTCTACTTGGTTCATGTGGACGCTGAACCAGATTTGCCAGCCTACTGGAATAAAAGAAAAAACCAGAATCCCACCAGCGCGCTGTACAGGTGTAACAAGCGGTGAACACGTTTGTCTTGGTCTTAATTTGCCAGAGAAGCGATGTCCTTTTGGAATAGCCTCTGATCTTGCTCTTCTCAGAAGGAAGGTGTGAGGGCAGCTGTCCGCAGACCCATGTCCTTCCTCTTGCACTTGACCCAGAAATCAATTAGTCTGAGTTGAGAAATAGGTGGCTGTTTCTTTGCCTGTGCTTACTCACTGGAAAATAAAATAGGTGTTGACTTATATGGCTTCATATCAATGCGCCCTCATCCGCAGACCAGTCTGCTCCCCATTGCTTCACTTGAGTAAACCATGGTCCAAGGGTCAGCTTTGTTTACCCGTAATTGTCAGTGTCCGGATCACAGCGGCAGACCTGGCAGCTCTCGGCACATCCTACCTGTCACTTTGAAAGGTGTTTGAAAATAATAGCACACATGCAGCAAAACCCTACCCAGGATTGTGTCGTGACCTTTCTCTTTGTTTCATTTGCCTCAAGGTTTGATTTCAGGGGACAAGGAATAATTGAATATGCCTAATAACTAAATGCTCATTTGGGACAAAATCCATCAAAATATAATTGGCATTTGATTTTTATGAAGGGAGAAGGAAACCCACTCAGCTGTCGAGGATGCATTTGAAGGATCTCTGACCACTCAATGTATTATTTGATGCTTCCTTTATAATATATATTAATTGCAAATACTTGAGCATTTGAACAGTTTCCCGGAGCACTGCTTGGAGAGACCAACTGTTTTTGTTACTGCTCCTCTTAGAAAGGCGGGGAAGGTTATTGGTCTGCTGTGCAATAATTTACTCCTCTTTGATATGCAAACGATCCACGGTGAATATAAAAAAATCCTATCAGACTCATTTCACAGTTCTTAACCACTCGGATTCTCTGGAGTCCATCGCCTCATTAGACCAGTGCTCTCCAATGCTAGCATAATTAAAATCTTTAACAGTTTAGCAAAGTAAAGATGTTTGGCTGATCACGTTGAGATGATTATCTAGCCATTGTATTCTAAATGACAAAAATAAATTAAATTTAGACCTTGGCATTTTTTTTTATTATGTGTTTCAAATGAATATAATGCACACAGCCTTTTTTTTTTTTTTTTTTTCAATCTAATACGTTTTGGTTTGGTAAGAAACAAGCCTGTTTCGGCTGTTGCTACCTAACCAGAAGGTGGCTGGCTTTCTAAGAGAGCTGTGTTCCAGCTGATGGAGACAATGAACTGCAGACCAGACATGCAGTTCTGAGGTGGAGTTGCCTTGTGATGTGCAGGGTGTGTGGCTGCTTTTCCTCATTCAGAGGACAGTGTGGCCTCTGCTGTTCCTAGGTGCAGTTCAGATCCTGTCTCTCTGGGCATTTACACCATCCTAAACTATACATTGAACTAGAATTTGGGAAGTCTGGCCTATAGACCTTTGCTGGATAGGGTAAAGTTACAAAGGTCCACAGTGATGAGGTTAACATAGTCTCATCTTAGAGGAAATAAAGGTTGACAAGTATTTTTTGAAGACCCCTGCCCATTTTGACCCCATTCAGACAGGCAAGAGGACTTTATTACTCTAAGCTTATTTTCCTTTCCATTTTTACTCTGCAATGGCTCATTAGCATTGATCTCAGAAATGACAGTAATAATAGTGTTACTTGTATAAAAAGTTACACAGTCTTCAGTAGACACATCCATCAATTAAGCATGTGGTACTAGAAACCAAAATTAATGAGGAAGATAGGTGTGTTAATGAAATAATCATAGTATAATCAATTTGACTGTTAAAAGTTGAAAAGCATTTCAGGAAGACGGTATGAATTCATAATTTATGTCTAAAAGTGATTAATAAAAACTATATTTAATAACAAAGCTATTTGTCATCATTTAAGACTTAAGCACAAAAATTACTCATTTTGTGGTTCATGTTGTCATGAGACTACAGTTGAACAAATTTGTTTTGAGGCCTCCTATGTGCCTAGAAATAAGCTAGCTTGTCTCTACTCTCCTAGAACTGGGAAACAGCCTTTGGATGGAGGGAGTCATGCTGTTGCAGAATAGCTGTGCTTTGCATCCTTTTCAAGGTGTCTCTTCTGTGTGAAGAGGGGACTTCAATGGCTGCTCAGTGGGGGGGGGGTGCACTCATCACTACTGTATTTGCCATCGTTGGGAGGGAAAAAAGGAAAGTGTGAACACCCCGAAGCCCCCCTAACACTAGGCTTTGTTTACTGACTCTTTGATTTAATTACTGTTTGAAGAGGACGGAATTAGCTGTTAATTGATTTGATTATCCAATTTGTTTGTTTCAGGCATGATTCCAACGGAACTGCAGCAGCTCTGGAAAGAAGTGACAAGTGCCCACACTGCAGAGGAGACCACGGGCAGCAATCACAGCAGCCTGGACCTGACCAGCACGTGTGTCTCATCCTCAGCACCTTCCAAGACCTCCCTCATCATGAACCCGCACGCCTCTACCAATGGACAACTCTCAGTCCACACTCCCAAGAGGGAAAGGTAGGAGCATGCCCACCCCTGTCTGTGGTCAGTACTGTCTTCCCCCTGGAAGGGGGCAGGTGGCCTTGCCCAGTTCTTTGTCTCTGGGAAACCTAGTTGTATTCACCGGGGATTGGATGTGCATAAGATTACTTCAGAATGTGTTCGCTATGGCTTGGGTGTGAAGCATCTAATTATTTTCACCTTTTCAACATGGAGTTAGCACTTGCTTAGATCTGTGCTCGGCTTAGGAGCCCTGGCAGAAGTCTAGTAGTTCCTCATTGGAAGGGTTGGCTCTCAAGGCTTCCAGGCCAACTGTGTGCTCTGCCAGGAGCTCACTCCGTGCAAACTGAGCGCCTTGGCTCTGAGCACCTTTGAAGGCGACAGTGGTGTGTGCTGTGGGCAGTTTCAAGTCTTGGTTTGAGGAAACACAGCACTTAATGCTAGTTAACACTGCGCCCCCTTGAAGTGGGGGGACCCGTCGTCTTCATCGTGTGTCCCAGAAGGAAGCATGAGCCTTTTCGGCATAGACACCAAGGAAAGATTGAGATGGCGGTGAGGTGGACTGGAGCACGCTTTCTCCTGTGGTCCTCGAGCTAGCACTGCCCCATCAGGTGCGTTCCTGTGTGTAAGTGAAGGCTCTATATTTTCAGTGCCCTGAGCTTTTGATGAACCATAGTTGAAGAAGCTTGGCCTGTTTTTAAGATCCTGACTGTGTTCTGTTCCTTAAAGCCCCAAGGAAATGAAGCTGTTTGTTTATTCTGTGACACCCAGAAGCAGTATTGCCAGTGCTGAAATCGACTTCAGAAATGGAATATATAATGCTCCTCAAGTGGGCCATTTTTTTTTCTGTTTACTGTTTTTAGACCCTTTCCTATATATTTCACATGTAGTGCTTGTAGGCACAGAGGGCAAGAAGCCTTACCAAGAATTTCTCATGGCAAAATATTTTTATCAGGCAAAAGCAAATGCTCTATTCTGTTTCTAAGTCCAAATGACTCGGTGAGAAAGCATAACTTCATCTCTCAACTTAGCCAGTACAGTATCATTTCGTACATTCTCTGAAATCCTGAGCACTCTGCCCTCTGTTTTAACTAGGTATGCATTGTTATATTAGAAGAATGCTGTTTGAAATACAGTGTGCGGTTCCGCAGAATTGTGTAGTGATGGGTTGGTGTGTGACCACTTCTGCGGCGGTGGCCAGATGACATAGTGGAAATGAACAAATCCCTTCCCCGCTACCGTAGCCATTGTAACTACGCAGATGGAGGCATCACCCCGTGTTTGTAGCCGTGGTCATGTAGTGAACTGGTTGTGTGGAAAGTACAGCACACACAGTTAGAGACAGGACATAACCCTGGACGGCAATAATGTGGCCGGTGCTTACTGTACTGTGCTGTGTGATCATTAGTTTAGGATCTACTCCGACCGTACTGTCCGCACACGAAGACTGTTTCATTGTGTTAGTCTGGCGGCAACCTCCTACGTCATGTGTTACCTCATGCCTTGGTTGCGTTATGTTTTTCTTGTGCTTGGTTTAATAATGGATTGTTTTGAGCATCCCGTTGGGACTGTAGGAGCGGTGGATGACTATACCACACGTGCTTGCATGTGCACACATAGCCTAGATGTGCAGTCTTGTACCACTCAGGTCTTCATGGGTATACCCTGGGAAGTTGCCCGTGTCTCCGAATGTGTCCCTCCTGAGTGGCACACATACTTATACAAATGTGTATCAGATTTGAGCTTCAACACCATCGGAGGTTTTCAGAGATGAGGGTAACACGTGCGTTGTAACTAATAACTGCAAGCCTCCTTGAAGATTTCCTTGAGATGTCTCTGGTAGGCATGGAACTAAGAGATACTTTCAACTTAGTGGTCTAGAAGGGATTGAAGAGCAGAATGGTGAACAGGAAGGATCGGTTTGTGGCCTGGGCCAAACACAGCTTCCTGTGTCTCTAGCTTTCCAGTGGTGAAGGATATGTATACCTGGAAACCAGTCTTTGATCCTGCCTTGGAATCTATTATAATGTCTTTATTACTTTTTTTTTTAATTTCCAAGTAGCAAACCTTAGATGGCTTTAACGGAAAGATACTAGGCTGCTGCCCTTTGTGGTACCGGCTCTCCCTGTCCCGAGGTTGATGCTGTCCATTTACTGCAGAGTGATTGAATTACATCTTTATCCATAGACCAAGCAGGAGGCCATGCACTGAAAAATGCCGACTGATGCACTTAAGGTATTTGTTGCAATCTTGTCGGCCGCTGTGGAGACTGCACAGATTTTCCATGACACAGAAAAGTCTCCTTGTTTAGATGCACTGTGCTCAGTTTCCTCCTAAAAGGTTAGATATCTGCAGTCCGGTAGTAGAACAGCAAGGAGGCAAGCCAGACAAGAATAGGCCTTTTCATGTCTTAAGACACATTTGAGAGTAAGTGGATCTAAGAACAGTCTAATTCCTGCAGACTAAGTTTGTTTGATTTTTTTTTTTTATGGTCCTTATTTGTCTGCACAAATGTTGCATTTAATCTTCTGCTAAAATTAGACTGTGGATCAGAAGAGAATTGAGAGTTCCACCAGCCTGAATCTGGATGTGAGAACAGGCTGAGTTCTTGTTACACATACAGAGAGGAGGGAGCTAGGAAACTATATGATGTTAGTGACTCCCTTGACTGTTCCATTTCATATTATCTGACACATGGACAGTGGTGGCTGGCTTCAAAGAAGACTCTAGCAGTACACTTGGTTTTCATGTTTGGTGAGTGCAGGGCCTTGTACATGTTAAGCAGACACGCTTGACCACAAAGGTAAAATCCCCACCTTGTACCAGCAAACTTTGAACTCATTATAATACCTTAGGTTAAGATAGCTTAGTAGCTTTAAGCTTATAAAATTCATCATTCAATAATCAATAATCTTTAAGTTGGTTTTATATAGATATGGTACTTAAAAATTAGTATTAGCATGTCTTTATCATGAATGAATATTTATTCATGTATTGGAAATGCTGGGGATATGCTAGGCAAGTGGTCTATCCCTAGCCCTCAGCCCCTTATTATGATGTATTTTAAAATCTCATAGATGGTGGCCACTTTGTGAGTAGAAAAGAGTAGCAGAGGGAAGGAATGGGGGGCGTTTGTCGTTATAGAAGTATGTTCTCACATGCACACTGAGCTGTCGGGGAGACACCTCAGGAGTTCTCCTTACTGCCATGGGAAACTTTTATCCCCCCTTCTCTAGGCCATTTGTGAAATATGCATCCTTACAAGCTCTCCTGTGATTGCCAGGGAATAGTCTTTTCCCTTCACCTTCTAGAGCAGTGACCGCACAAGCCAGAGAGAGGCCTTGCCACCGTGCACAGTAATCCAGCCTGGCAAACTCCGTCCTCAGCTAGCAGCCTTCAGGGGATTGTTTTCCTGAAAAGATCTAGGAGTGTTGTGTGTGAAAATTGGTTGGAGAGAGAAAGAGAGAGAATTTTTTTTTTTTGTCTTTCAAAGTCGTGGGCTGTGTAAAGGCTCTTACCTGGCTCCCATATCTCCATGCCATTTGGAAACCTCCGCCTTCCCGCTCTTGCCCCGTACGGTTTCCAGCGTCTGTGAGCAACCGCCGCAGCAGTAGCTCTGGGGTTTGGTGAGCTGCAATCTGTTAAGGAGATAAATAATGTGCTTGGCACGACACTCCTACTCTCCTCTTTAATTTGTCTTACACAAGGAAAATTATAATTAAATCATTCAGGGTAAACCCTTGAGTGTAGAGAAGGGAAGAAACACACTTTGGTAAAGATTGCCAATAGAAACCCACTTCCCTGTTGCGCAGGGTGGAGACGTCCATCAGTATTCAGCAGCGTGTGAGGAGGAGCGGCCCATGTGATTTGTGAGGCGGATGCCAGCACTCAGATCAAGGCTTGTTAAGATCCTGTCCCCGTGCAGTCGTGGACGGTCAGCATCGTTAGAATTCAGTGCGGTGCCACGCTTCCTGCTTTGAGTGGCTCCTGACAATTTAATAATGTTTATTGTGCTGATTATATATAAAGCCATCGGGGCAATAAACACCTCTGTTGTCAGTGCCTCGGAGGAGCACGGTGGGATCAAGTTGAGCGCGCCCAAAGCTAAAGGAGAGACACAGGAGGAAACAGGTGTGCTCCAGCCTCCTTGCTCACGCATTGCTGCTCTGGAGTCGCGACCTCTTAGTAGACAGACAGAAGTGAGACCTGGGACGTCTGCACACATGAAGACATTACCTTGTTCACTTTACTTGTGGACTGTCTCCCTTCAGGAAATTCCAAGTTTTGGTGTGGGTAAACAGAACCAAGAGAATGCAAATGAAACATTTATTAAAATGCTAAATTTAGTAAGCCCTTTGAGCTTCTTGGATCAAAGCAGCTATGTAAATACAAATAGCAATTACTACTTAAGTAATTGCCTGAATTAAAATTCTAAATATCACATTATATTATGCTGCACCAGGGAAGGGAAGGCACATTAAATCAGTGCCTTCCTGCTCGCCAGTTGCCGCTAGACTCTTGCGTCTGGAGCGACGTCTCGTTTCATTCACAGGACTACTTGGGATGCAGTGGGGACTGTCACCCCGTTTTACAGACGAGGACGCTGAGTTATGGAAACCAACCATGGCTCTACAGTCATATGACTAATTTAGTGTCATAGCCAAGATCCATGTTCAGATCTGACTTTCAAGTCTTTCCATTCAGTTATAAAAGTGAGTACCTAAGTGGAATTAAAAACCCGTGTCCCTAAGAGAAACTTTACATTTAATTGCAATTCATCCTAACATCAATTATAGCTGATTATTGTGTGTAGATTATAACATATAAAGGGAAACAAGTCCCCTATTTATTTTTCTGTAGATAAAGATAGTTCCTACGTCTTTTCATCTTTGATGAAGAGAGGTGAGATTCATAAGCTATAAATCACTTAAATGGTGTGAAATAGTACACAAGGATAAAAAACAAATCTCCTGTAGGAAATGCACACAGACAAATGCAAGCAAGCCTGGATCCTTTAC